ACCCCCCGGCCCTCCTGGCACCTTACAGGATAAACCGATGCTCATTTGGTGTGAAAACCGCTGACTGATCCCGTGGTCCGCTGAGGACCAGCAGGCTGAGCCACCCCTCCGTCCCTCCGTCCCTCTTTCCTTCCTCCTCTTCCCTCCCAGTGCCACACCTGCGTGGTGGGCTCAGGTCCCTCCCAGTTCCCTCCCCTTCCCTTTCTCTCTCACCTCCACGGAGGCCTCTGCCCCTAGCCTCCTGCAGGTCCAGTTCCATCCAGGTGCCTCTTTGCCGAGGGAGGCCTGGATTGCTGGAGCCTCCCGCAGAGGTGAGGTCCACACTGAGGCTGGACTCACAAGTAGCCCTGGGAAGAGTGCGACCCGGCCTCCTGGGAGAAGGAGTTAAAAAATAAGCGATCCCACTGGGTTGCTCACTCTCGGGGGGCACAATGACATTAGCTCTGCCCAGAGCTGCTGGATCCCTTGGGAATTAAATGAGATGATCCAGGCTCAGTGGCTCAGGGCTGAACGTCTCTTGCAAAGGCCCTGGGGCCACCCCAGGGCAGGCAGGACTCAGGGGGACTGAGCGTTGCCTGGAGCCCCTCTGCGGTCCGGCTGCGTCACCTCTCTGTGGTCCCCACATCCCCTCCCAGGGCTCCAGGGCTCCTCGTGGAGGAATGAGACCCCAGGGGGACCGGCCTCTGTTCTCTGTGTTCCCAGCCAAAGGGACTGTCTTGCAGATATTTTGGCCACGATGTGCGGTGTCACCAAGGCAGGGTGACCATTATCTGGGTCATTGGATCCCYAGGGACCTGCCAAATCAGATAATTTGGGAGATTTGCCTTTCTCTGTCTCTCGGATCACATGTCCCGGGTCATGACCCTCGTCCCCACCTGGCCTGGCTCCGTGGCCGCAGTCCCCTTCCCGGGTGAGCCTGAAATGGAAGCTGGTTTCAGGCGGGAGGTGGAAGGTCGAGGGCAGGAGGGACCGCTGGCTGCCCAGGGTGGCATGGGACAGCTCTGGGTCCTAGAGGCAGTCTTCTCAAGACCCTTGTCATGACGTCCAACATGTGGACGGAGAACACGGGCCCAGCCAGGGACAGGCCACCCCCACCCAGGTCCACCACAGGAGCATTCCCCCTAAACACCCSGTCCTTGGTAGCCCCGTCCCGGTCACCCCTTCCAGAGCCGGCCACCCCTTCCTCTGACCCCCGCAGCATGGACACTTTTGCAGTTTGGGGTTTGACATAAGTGACAGTGACCGCCCGCCTGCTCGGCCTTGGGCCTGGCTCCTTTGAACAGCGCKCGAGTGACATTGACCCAGGCGTCACAGAGCCACGATCCACTCCTCCCTCCTGCTGGACGGTGTCCTGTGGAAAGAATGCGACACTATTTGTCACGTTCCCCTGAGGACATTCGGGTGGCCTCCAGGTGGGGGCTGGGCACGGAGCCCACGGGGTGTGCGCTGGGGGACGCAGATGAGCGTCCACGCTGACAGCAAAGCTCTGGCTGCTGAGAGACGTCCCTGAGGGCTGGGGGTGGGGCTGGGTGGCCGTGAACTTGAGCAGCTTGGACCAGGCCCTGGGYTCCGTCCCCCGCTCTGGGTCCCCTGTGGTCAGCTCCCGAGAAGGAGGCAGAGCTTCTGCGGGGCCTGTGGGAAGAGCATCGAAGACCCAGAGACGYTCTCAGACCCTCTCACATGACCTTGGACACCTCACCCCCCCAGCCAGGCTCAGGTCCGAACCAGGTGACCTCAGGCGGTTCCAGTTCTCAAGTAATTCAGACTGCTGTTGGCCATCCAGCACCATGTGATTCAACAGCCACCGCGTGGCCACAGAGGACGTGGCCTCCAGCAACTCCTACACCCCATCTCATTGAATTCTTCCAACAGGCAGCGTTGGAAAGGAGTGGCTGTGTTGAGACCACTGTGGCTCAGAGAGGTTAAGTTCCTGACTGGAAGACACACAGCCGGCAGCCATCACCACAGGGTCGGAGGAGCGAGGCCCGTTCTGTTCTGCACCCTCCACGGCTGCATGGTTCTTTTTTATTTTTAATGAATTATCTCAGGCCTTCAGGAGCGTGCAGAGAACGATAGGATGAAGGTCTACGAATCTACCCAACCGTCCGGGCAACAGAACCCTAAAAATAGCCCGAAGCTCGGGGGGCTCCCTGCCCCCTTCCCCCCCAGGGCAGTCTCTCTCCCTGAAGAACCTGCTGACCTCACCCCCGGCACGTGTCCACCCTCTTCCCATAGACGTAACTGCACCCATAAAAACCTGCTGGGTTGCTCTTGGGGTGTCTGAACTTTATTCAGGGGTGTCACCTACGTGAGCCTTATGCAGAGCGGTTGTCCCCCGAGACCCCACACTGTGTTTTCTGAGATTCCCACAGTGACTCAGGGAGTTCTAGAACATTCATTTCCCTGCTGCCCTTTGGAGTAGATGCACCCATTTGCTTATTGGCCAGCATCTAGAGTCTTCCCAGATTTTCACCGTGGGGAAGTGTGGCCGTGGATGCTCTCGGTGCTGATTTTTTTGGGGGAGAAGACACTAGGGATTGAACTCAGGGGCCCTTGACCCCTGAGCCCCCTCCCCAGCCCTATTTTGTATTTTATTTAGAGACAGGTTCTCACTGAGTTGCTGAGGCTGRCTTTGAACTGGCGATCCTCCTGCCTCAGCCTCCCGAGCCACTGGGATGACAGGCGTGGGCCACCGTGCCCAGCTGTATTAAAATGTTGATGGACAAGCTGTCCTCATCGTACCAGGAGCTGTGGTCTCAATGTTCTTTCCAAGTGCATTTGTCAAAATTCTTGAGGAAGGATTTGAGGAGGTGGTCCTTGAAGGGTGGCTGTGTCAGGAGGACGGAGCCCCCACAATTGAGACCAGTGGCCTTAGACTAGAGACCCCAGAGAGCTGGCCAGCCCCTGGCACCATGCAAGGAGGTCAAGTGAAGGCCCTTCCTACATGTTGAATCTTCCAGAGTCTTGATCTTTGACTTCCAGGCTCCAGAACAGTGAGAGAGAAGTTTCTGCTGTCTATCAGCTGTGCCGTTCATGGTGTTTTGTTACAGCAGCTCGCAGAAACTAAGACACTTGCGTATCTGTGATAATACTGCACAGTTTAATTTGTTCATCAGGKTTTTTTTTCCTGAGCATCTATTATGTCCTAAGTCTATGCTGGGTGCTGGGGACAGAGAAACTGATCTCTGAGAGACCCAGCTCTGGATTTCTAGGAGTTCAGATGGGGGACCAAACCCCAACCTTGGACAGAGGGGGGTTGGGGTACTTAGGACTCACAGGAGGCCTGTGCACACAGGTGCTCGTCACTTAATCTGCACAAAAGCCTCATAAGGTCACAACTATCACTATGTCTACTTTTTAAAAGATGAAGCTCAGAGAGGTTAAGTAATTTACCCAAGGCCACCCAGCTAGGAGGTAGCAAAGCCAGAGCTTCATCCCATGTCCTCCRTCCTTGGCAGGGTGGCCTGACATATCTGAACGCCAGTCCCCCTCTTGCCACTTGAGAACAAGGCYGTCAGAGGGAAGTTACTTAGCACCCGGCCCGGCCCACTCACAACCCGCCCATTCTCTCCTTCTGCTTTAGCTCCTGGGGAAATCAGAGCAAATTCTATTTTTAGACACTGTGGTTGAAATGGTGGTGACGGCCGGGTTAGTGACAAATTCTAGGGACCCAGCTCAGAGGTGGTGCCTGCTCTGAACCCCCAGGAACTCCCTGATACCATCTCCTTTGGATCTTCGTGATTTATTTCAAAATTCACTTTCTCTCTTCTCCTCGCTTCACAAGTCCCACCGTGGATGTTTGGCCGGAAACGATACAACCCGAGCTGACCTCAGAGCTGGAGAGAAGCCGGGGTCCCCGCGGAAACCTGGACCCTGGGGTCGCAGAGATAAGGGAGGAGCTGGGCTGGCCTCGGCACAAGATAGAATTTGTCCTCCATGAAGTCACTGATTGATCGACGTGTGTGTGTGTGTGTGTGTGTGTGTGTGTGTGTGTGTAACTCCTGCAACTGTACTGCCCACGTTTTATAGATAATCCTAATCTTTCAAAGACCAACAATGGGGTCAAACAAGGATTGTGGGTGCCCTGGCAACCCCAAGTCTGAGGCAGAAAGAGGAAGAACAGAAGGAGAGCTGGGCAGATGGTGGCGAGTGCAAGGCACAAACGCAGAGTGCTGACCACGAGCCGAGCCGGAACGTGCACTACTTGAAACCATTTCATTCCTTGTCAACACGGCAGGGGATCTTGATTCCCATTCTATAGATTAGGAAAACAAGGCCAGAGAGGTTAAGCAACCTACCTCAGGGCACTCAGCTCATAACTATGGGCTTTCAGTGGCAAAWTGGAACCCATCAAAATGCAGGACCAGTTAGATTTGAATTCCAGGTAAATAATGAAAAAGAAATTAGTACAGGAATGCCCCACGTGCACCAGAGTAACACTAAAGCGGCACCTTAACCTGGCCTACTGTTCTCACCTGCAATTGTCCCCAAGGTTCAAGGTCCATTCTCCTCATTATTTCTCAGACATCCCTTTCCTGTGGAACTATAACCAGCTGATGGGCTTCGAGCAGGCCCCCAGCGTTACAGCCCATAACCAGCCCAGTCACCTATCAAGTAAGTACTGTCGCTGTTCCCACTTTGGGGATGAGGAAACCGGGGCTCATCATGGTGACATAAGCTCCTTCCCCAGAGATTCCCCCGGAATCCCTTCCAGGTGCATGGCATTACCATCACCCCTTTACAGAGGAAGACACAGAGGTTCAGAGGAGTGCTGCGCCTCGCTCAAGGTCATAGAGCTTGCAAGGCCACAGGCTCAGAGAGGGCGAGTGATCAGCCAGAGGTCACACAGCTAAAAACTGAAACAGCCAACGGAACACCAATAAACAAAACTGCCCGTTACTGGGTGTTGACAGTTTACCAAGCACCAGCGCCAGGGCCCGGGGTGGAGGGGGGAGGAGGAGGAGCAGCAGCGGTGGCGGCGGCAGCAGCAACAGCCGCAGCCGCAAATACTCTGCCATTTATGGAGCGCTTCCTCCAGGCCAGGCGCTTCGGCCCTTGGCGTCATCGTCTCGGTTAATTCTCCCCACCACCCTGCGACGTGGGTCTCGAGCCCATTTTGCAGACGGGGAAACTGAGGCGGGAGGCTGCGGGCGTCCCGGGCTGCCCCGGGCGGGAGGCCGGTGGCACTCAAGGAGTTAACGCGACAGCGCGGTGGCTCCGTGCGAGCAGCGAGCGGCTGAGCGCCGGGCTGGGGCGCGCGGCTGGCGGCGGCGCGGGGCCGGGCGCCGAGTCCCGGGGGCCGGGGAGCCGAGCGGAGGAGCCCGCGAGCCGCAGGCCGGCGGCCGGAGGGAGCCCCGAGGCCAGGCGCGCGGGCGTCCCCGGGGGGGTCCCGAGCGGGGCCTCGGCGGCGCGGGGCACCCGCAGTGCCACCCGCCCAGGCTCGGGCTCGCGGATCGCGGCTCCGCTCCCTCCGCGGCCGCCCGCCTCCCCGGCTCGCCGGCTGGCGTCGCCACCGCCTCCCGATCGCCGGCCACCGCTGTCGCCGCGGCTGCCATCCGGGGCGCGCGTCTCCCACCGGCGCGCGGGGGGCGCCCCCGGCAGCAGAGCCCGAGCGACAGCCGCGGGGCCGAGGCTGGGCTCCCGGGAGGCAGCGACTGCGGCGGCCGGAGGCTGGGAAGGCGCCCCCCGAAACCCGCGCCCAGCGGACCCCGAGGCGCGAGGAGACYCCGGCGCCGGCCGAGCTCCGCGGGCAGAGTTTGCAAGTGGCGGCGACTCCCCAGGTAAGGACCGCGGCCCTGGACCTGCCCCGAGCCTCCCGGAGGCAGCGCAGCTGCGTGGGAAGGAGGCCACCGCSGCTGGGCTTCCGGGGCTGGCCGCCTCCCCGCGCCCACCGCTGGGTCCGAAAGGAACACACAGCGGTGACAGCCCGGCTCTGGGTGAATGACAAACTTTCCTCCGGTGGAGGATGGGATCCGGTGGCTCCTTCAGGAGGTCCCTTCTCTGGKCATCCTTCTGGTCCCCAAAGCGTGCACTCAAGGGCTGCTGGAGTGGGGCTGGGCCGGGAGACCGCAGGGTCCTGCTGGTGGGGTCTGTGTGTGAACCCCCCGCCTTGGGCAGCTCCGAGTCCCCCGGGAAGGGACCTGGAAGGGACCGAGTTGTATTTACGAGTTGACTCTCTGAGTGCTGGGGGGAGGGGACGCTGGGGAATGAGATCCCTTCATCAGGAACCAGCAGCCGGCCACCGGGCAGTGGGTTTTGTGCATAGTGTTTGCAGACTTGCTTCTGTGCATGCTGAGGTGTGGATGGAGAGAGAGAGAGAGAGAGAGAGAGAGAGAGAGAGAGAGAGAGAGAGGAGAGACTGGAGCCTGGGGGTGGGGAGAAGGGCCCATTCCGTTAGCACGCCCCTATCCAAGCCCCAGCAGCCCAAGTGTCAAGGCAAGAGCCTACACACCTCCCTGGCAAAGCCACCCGGAGGGCTGGAGGTGACCACCCGGTCCCCGCAGCTCCAAAAGGGCTTCTCTTTGGGGGGGGGGGGGGCAGGGAGATTCCAGGGCTGCTCAATGGGCCATTCAGGCTGCATCCTGGGGAGGTGTGACTTTGTAGCAAAGGTTCTGGAAGAGCCCAGGGGACGGGCTCCTGGCACACCCAGCCCCAGCTCTGGTGGGGGGGCAGACCCCCCAGTCCAGCTCCAGGCCCCTGGACACTCAGCTGAGCCCTGCCTATAGCTAGAGTTTGGCCAGATTATTTTTCCTCCCCGTGAAGAGCATGCTCCAAAGAGGCCACCTGGACCCCAAGGATCCTTTGGGAGCTGTCCCYGTGGCCACAGCCCCCTAGAGGACATTGCTTTCCTTGCTGGGTCCCAGCCTGAGGCTGAGGTCATCTTGATATTCTGGCCTGTAGCTGATGTACCTGTGAGACACGGATTGGACACGCTGGTGGTCCAAACCCCAAGTCAGAGATATTCCCAGTCCCTGTAATTGTCCCCTGCTGGGGCTGAGTACCTGCCTCTGGGGAGTGGCATTGCTTGCTGTGTGTTTGTCAATTCTTGGGACACAGTGGGATTCCGAGAAACTCCTGCCCTTATTGGGATAGAAGCCTTTTCCCCTGGCTGCCAAAACCCAGGAATCCCTCTCGGGCATCGGAGGCCTGGGCTTGGTACATTGGGAAAAGCCCCAGCTCTGGATCAGGTGGTTAATTTGCTGTGTAACTTTGGGAAACTCACTAGACCTCTCTGGTCTCTAGCTGCTGCTGCTTGGTTTCATGTATCTTCAGAGGTCCCCATCCAGATACTCTAGGGCCCCCAGCAATGTCACAGATGAGATTTTCAGAATCCAGGAGTTGATGGGACTTGGTGTTTAAGAGACCCTGGACAGATCACACTCAAGTTTGACAGACGCTCCCCTCTCCAAGCGTCAGCCTCCCCACTGTATGGCGTGTTTGTGGTCCTGCTTTGGAAGGRTGCCAGGAGCACCCAGAGAGAGCGGGTGCATCAGAGCTGCTGGCCCCRGTCTTGACGTTGCTAGCAACCCCACCGTGTGGTCTGGGGCATTGCGTGTGGGCCTCTGGGTGCTGTGTCCCCAGGGAGGGTGACTGTGTCCCACCCAAGCACCAGGTGATGCTCGGTTGGGGGCAGGGTCCTGGCTCTCCAGTCACCTGATACCTGCAGTCCCCGCCCCCTCCCTGCTTCCTCGTGAAGGACCARCTGCTCCTGGTGGGGAGCCTGGACGCCAGGAGGGCCCTGTGCACCCAGCTGCTGGTCGTCATGACAACGGGAAGTGGAGGTAAGCGTCTCCATGGCTTCAGCTTGGCAGCTGTCTAGGGACCCCGAGCAGAGAAGTTCAGTCTGGGTCCGGCATCCCGTCCACGGAGGGCTGCTCCACGCGGGCTGGCGAGGCTGCTGTCCCCACAGGAGTGTCCCCCGGGTGGAGAAGCGCTTTCTAGCCTGGTGATGGGGCCGGTGGGGAGATGCCCAGAGGGTCGGGGACRCAGTGCGCTGACCAGTCTTGCTTCTTTCTGGCTGGTCCTGAGCTTGGGGGCAGCCTGGGCTCCTGGGGGAGACCCTGGCGGGGAGGACAGACCCCATGGGCCTGGTGGGGCTGCCGTGGGGAGAGGGGTGCCCTGGGAACCCGCGGGAGCGGCCCCTCTGTGCGGCCTCCATCTGTGCCCGGGCTCAGGGCTGAGGCAATGGGCAGTGTGCTCTCCAGGGGGAGCAGGGTGTGTGTGCGTGTGCACGTTTGTGTGAAGGCGTGCAGATGTGTGTGCTCTCAGGCAGGACCGTGAGCTCATGCGCTCGGGAGGGTGACTCTGGGAGCACTGAAGCGTKTGTGCACGGGTGTGAGGAGCGTCTATCCAAGTGTGTGCCAAGTGTCTGCCGGATGCACGCGTGTGGGTTCAAGCGTGTGCGAGCATGCTAGAGAACGGACACCGGTGGGAGTGGGTGCAACTCTGTGTGCACACTTGTGAGGGGTCAGGTGTTGTTAACTGCATTTTGTGTGTGTGTGTGTGTGTGTGAGTGAGTGAGCAAGCAGGCACGCACCCACAGAGGTACACCCATGTGCGGGAAGCGTGTGTGGAAACACCTGTGTTGGAGAAGCAGGGTGTGCACCCAGAGGGGGACATGCTGTCCCCATGTGAACAGGTGGGCCTGTGGATGTTTGCAAGCACCTTCATGAGTGTGAGTATACACACGTGCAATTTGTGCTGTGCACTTCTGCACATATGCCTCCGTGTGTTTCCCAGGTACCTTTGTGCGTATCTGTGTGTGCAGGTGAGTGCACTTGTGTCTGTGTGTGCGGTGTCCCGTGAGCGTCTCTAGGCGTGTGGGTGGGTTTCTGAGCACGTGCACCTCAGAGCGTCAGAGTGTGATTGTGTCTCTGCGTCAGTGCGTGTGTGTGTGTGTTGCAGTGCACATGTTTGTGTTTCTCTTTTTGTACATAATCCTCAGTGCACGCCCGTGTGCAGCTTTGCACACTTGGTTGAAACTCTATGTGTGTGCTTCGGAGTRTTGGTGTCTGGGTGTGCTGGCTGCGGGGCACACAGTGCCTGTCACGCCTTCGGGTGTGCGTGTGTGTGCTTCTGGGTGTTTGCTTGGCTGCGTGGCAGCGTGACTTTGGCACATCCCGTGTGTGCATCTGTGCGCTTCCCAGCACRCACATCTCCAAGGTGCGTCTGAGTGTCTGCGGGGCCCTAAGTGGCCAGGGGGGTGTCACATGTGCAATTTCAAACAGCCCCAGCCCTGAGCCCGCAGGGTCCTTTGCTGGGCCGGGCACCTTCCCAGTGCTGACTCTGCGATTGGTGCCAGCTCTGAGCCGTGTTGGCACCATGCTCCAGAGCCCTGGGGTGTCCCCGGACCCTGCCTGACTCTGTGCCCAGCCCCAGCCTCTTCACCCGCAGCCTCCACTGCCCCAGCCCCAGCCTCYTCACCCGCAGCCTCCACCTAGGACAGCTGCTGGACAGACTTGCAGATGTGCAAAGCTCAGGTAGATTTTAGGTCTGAAGTGGGGCGGCCGAGGCCCCGGAGCCGAGCTCCCGCCAGCAGTCTCCTAATTAGGAGCAACTTGTTTTCCTTAAATAAACAAATCAAGTGAGGAAAGAAATTGCCTGAGATTAATGGCTCCCCGAGCAGGTCCAGATGTTGGGAGATGGAAATGGGGCTGGGCRTGCGAGAGGCTTTGGTCCCGGGGACTAAGGGACTAAAGTACTTGGTGCTCAGGATCCCTGGAGATCCCAGGAGCCGATGAGGCAGGGGCCATGTTCAAGGTCAGGCCGTGGGTGGCTGCTAGCCCMGGTTCCTCCCTCCCTCATGGGTGCCTGGGTTGCGGGAACTCTCTCTGCTTCTCACTCCACGGGTGACATGTTTAAGCTTTTGATCCCTTACTCGGGTTCCACCCTGGGAGTAGCATTGCCACTCGATGAGGTAGATGTCACCATGTGCCCTGTCCTTAGGGAGTCCCGCCTTGCTTGCTCCCCATCCCGGCCGAAGCAATGATGTCAGCAACACCAGGTCCACACGACATGTGGGTGACTTTATRTACAATGACCTATCACCCAGAGAAACGCGTGAGATGGTTTC